AGTTAGCAGAGTTAGCAGAGTTAGCAGAGTTAGCATAGTTAGCAGAGTTAGCATAGTTAGCAGAGTTAGCATAGTTAGCGCTTTAGACGCTACAGTCGAGTGTAGCTCCTGGATCTTTTTATACATTTCTCGAGCTGGTTTTTCTGTAATCGTTGCTCACATGGTTCGTTGCTCACATGGTTCGTTGCTCACATGGTTCGTTGCTCACATGGTTCGTTGCTCACATGGTTCGTTGCTCACATGGTTCATCTTAGTCCTGGTGTGAGTCGCTGCAGCTGTTGGTTCGTTTCTTAAATTTCCCATATGATAATCATGTTTTAATAATGTTTTGTTCTCATTAAACATCAACGACATCCAAACAGCCTTTTAGACCTGCGTAAAACAAATGTACTGCTATTTTTAGTAACTCTTCAGAAAGTAGAAGCCAAAGCAGATGCAGCTCTGTGGCCCCAAAGCCCAAGTCCTTCTTCAGTCCTGGTTTACGGTCTTTCCTCAGAGCTGAAGTGGTCGTGATCCAGACAGAGACGATGCTAACCTGCTGCTAGCATGCTAAAGTAAACTGCTAACCTGCTGCTAGCATGCTAAAGTAAACTGCTAACCTGCTGCTAGCATGCTAAAGTAAACTGCTAACCTGCTGCTAGCATGCTAAAGTAAACTGCTAACCTGCTGCTAGCATGCTAAAGTAAACTGCTAGCTTGCTGCTAGCATGCTAAAGTAAACTGCTAACCTGCTGCTAGCATGCTAAAGTAAACTGCTAACCTGCTGCTAGCATGCTAAAGTAAACTGCTAGCCTGCTGCTAGCATGCTAAAGTAAACTGCTAGCTTGCTGCTAGCATGCTAAAGTAAACTGCTAACCTGCTGCTAGCATGCTAAAGTAAACTGCTAACCTGCTGCTAGCATGCTAAAGTAAACTGCTAACCTGCTGCTAGCATGCTAAAGTAAACTGCTAACCTGCTGCTAGCATGCTAAAGTAAACTGCTAACCTGCTGCTAGCATGCTAAAGTAAACTGCTAACCTGCTGCTAGCATGCTAAAGTAAACTGCTAACCTGCTGCTAGCATGCTAAAGTAAACTGCTAACCTGCTGCTAGCATGCTAAAGTAAACTGCTAACCTGCTGCTAGCATGCTAAAGTAAACTGCTAACCTGCTGCTAGCATGCTAAAGTAAACTCAGTAACGGTTTATGTCCCACTCATCTTTTAGACTTTAGTGTTTTCTATGATTCTGGTGTTTATGAGTTGATATTGTTTAGGTCAGTAGCTCTCCAACCTGCAGCGCGGGAGCCACCTGTAGCTCTCCACCCCCTTTCAGGTAGCTCGCCAAAGGATTTAGAAATGAACAAATCAAATAATATACTTAATTTTCCAGATTGTGTTCTTCATTATCTTCATGTGTTATAAATGCACTTCATGCACTAGTAACAACAAAGTGATGATTCATGATAATTGTACCTGAGGCTCGTTCACAACAAAATGTCACAACAGAACATGTGGAGACACCTGGTGTAGGTGACTCCACATGTTCACAGAGACAGAGAGAGCACATCACACCTCTCTCTCTCTCTGGTCTCTCTCTGGTCTCTCTCTGGTCTCTCTCTGGACTCTCTCTGGTCTCTCTCTGGTCTCTCTCTGGTCTCTCTTTGGTTTCTCTCTGGTCTCTCTGGTCTCTCTCTGGTCTCTCTGGTCTCTCTTGGTCTCTCTGGTCTCTCTTTGGTCTCTCTCTCTGGTCTCTCTGGTCTCTCTCTCTCTGGTCTCTCTGGTCTCTCTCTCTGTCTCTGGTCTCTCGCTTTGGTCTCTCTCTGGTCTCTCGCTTTGGTCTCTCTCTCTCTGGTCTCTCTGGTCTCTCTTGGTCTCTCTCTGGACTCTCTCTGGTCTCTCTCTGGTCTCTCTCTCTGGTCTCTCTCTCTGGTCTCTCTCTCTGGTCTCTCTCTGGTCTCTCTCTGGTCTCTCTCTGGTCTCTCTCTGGTCTCTCTCTCTGGTCTCTCTCTTGGTCTCTCTCTGGTCTCTCTCTGGTCTCTCTCTCTGGTCTCTCTTGGTCTCTCACTGGTCTCTCTCTGGTCTCTCTCTCTGGTCTCTCTCTGGTCTCTTTATGGTCTCTCTCTCTGGTCTCTCTCTGGTCTCTCTCTCTCTGGTCTCTCTCTCTGGTCGCTCTCTCTGGTCTCTCTCTGGTCTCTCTCTCTCTGGTCTCTCTCTCTGGTCGCTCTCTCTGGTCTCTCTCTGGTGTCTCTCTCTCTCTCTCTCTGGTATCTCGCTTTGGTCTCTCGCTGGTCTCTCTGATCTCTCTCTCTGGTCTCTCTCTCTGGTCTCTCTCTGGTCTCTCTCTCTCTGATCTCTCTCTCTGGTCTCTCTCTCTGGTCTCTCTCTGGTCTCTCTCTCTGGTCTCTCTCTGGTCTCTCTCCCTGGTCTCTCTCTCTGGTCTCTCTCTGGTCTCTCTCTCTCTGATCTCTCTCTCTGATCTCTCTCTCTGGTCTCTCTCTCTGGTCTCTCTCTGATCTCTCTCTCTGGTCTCTCTCTCTGGTCTCTCTCTCTGGTCTCTCTCTGGTCTCTCTCTGGACTCTCTCTGGTCTCTCTCTGGTCTCTCTCTGGTCTCTCTTTGGTTTCTCTCTGGTCTCTCTGGTCTCTCTCTGGTCTCTCTGGTCTCTCTTTGGTCTCTCTGGTCTCTCTTTGGTCTCTCTCTGGTCTCTCTGGTCTCTCTCTGGTCTCTCTCTCTGGTCTCTCTGGTCTCTCTCTGGTCTCTCTCTGGTCTCTCTGGTCTCTCTCTCTGGTCTCTCTCTGGTCTCTCTCTGGTCTCTCTCTGGTCTCTCTGGTCTCTCTTTGGTCTCTCTCTGGACTCTCTCTGGTCTCTCTCTGGTCTCTCTCTCTCTTTGGTCTCTCTCTCTGGTCTCTCTCTCTGGTCTCTCTCTGGTCTCTCTCTCTGGTCTCTCTTTGGTCTCTCTCTCTGGTCTCTCTCTGGTCTCTCTTTGGTCTCTCTCTGGTCTCTCTCTGGTCTCTCTCTCTGGTCTCTCGCTTTGGTCTCTCACTGGTCTCTCTCTGGTCTCTCTCTGGTCTCTCTCTCTGTCTCTTTATGGTCTCTCTCTCTGGTCTCTCTCTGGTCTCTCTCTCTCTGGTCTCTCTCTCTGGTCTCTCTCTGGTCTCTCTCTGGTCTCTCTCTCTCTGGTCTCTCTCTCTGGTCGCTCTCTCTGGTCTCTCTCTGGTCTCTCTCTCTCTGGTCTCTCTCTCTGGTCTCTCTCTGGTCTCTCTCTCTCTGGTCTCTCTCTCTGGTCTCTCTCTCTGGTCTCTCTCTCTGGTCTCTCTCTCTGGTCTCTCTCTCTGGTCTCTCTCTCTCTGGTCTCTCTCTGGTCTCTCTCTCTCTGGTCTCTCTCTCTGGTCTCTCTCTCTGGTCTCTCTCTGGTCTCTCTCTGGTCTCTCTCTGGTCTCTCTCTGGTCTCTCTCTCTGGTCTCTCTCTGGTCTCTCTCTCTCTGATCTCTCTCTCTGATCTCTCTCTCTGGTCTCTCTCTCTGGTCTCTCTCTGATCTCTCTCTCTGGTCTCTCTCTCTGGTCTCTCTCTGGTCTCTCTCTGGTCTCTCTCTGGTCTCTCTCTCTGGTCTCTCTCTCTGGTCTCTCTCTGGTCTCTCTCTCTCTGGTCTCTCTCTCTGGTCTCTCTCTGGTCTCTCTCTGGTCTCTCTCTCTGTCTCTCTCTCTGGTCTCTCTCTCTGGTCTCTCTCTCTGGTCTCTCTCTCTGGTCTCTCTCTCTGGTCTCCTCTCTCTGGTCTCTCTCTGGTCTCTCTCTGGTCTCTCTCTGGTCTCTCTGGTCTCTCTCTGGTCTCTCTCTCTCTCTGGTCTCTCTCTGGTCTCTCTGGTCTCTCTCTCTGGTCTCTCTCTCTGGTCTCTCTCTCTCTCTCTGGTCTCTCTCTGGTCTCTCTCTGGTCTCTCTCTCTCTGGTCTCTCTCTCTCTCTCCTCTGGTCTCTCTCTGGTCTCTCTCTGGTCTCTCTCTCTGGTCTCTCTGGTCTCTCTCTCTCTCTGGTCTCTCTCTCTCTCTGGTCTCTCTCTCTGGTCTCTCTCTGGTCTCTCTCTGGTCTCTCTCTGGTCTCTCTCTGGTCTCTCTCTGGTCTCTCTCTCTGGTCTCTCTCTGGTCTCTCTCTGGTCTCTCTCTGGTCTCTCTCTGGTCTCTCTCTGGTCTCTCTCTGGTCTCTCTCTGGTCTCTCCTCTGGTCTCAGCAAACAACCCCGAATACCATCTACCATCCGATCTTCTCACTCGTCGGTGGTCTCTCTCAAGCCCACCGCTAGCCTCATATTCTCTCTCTCTGGTCTCTCGAACTCTAATGGCTCTCACTCTGAATACTCCTCCCTCTCAGCCTCGAGGTGCTCTGGTCTCCAGCCTCTCCCATCACACCCCTACTCTCTGGTCCTCGGCGAAACTATACTCTCTGGCTTCTCTTCCTCTCTGGGTCTCAACACCTCGTCTGGTCCCCCTACACATTCCAATCAGGTCCCTCAAACTCTCCTAGGGCAGAACGGTCTCTCAAAGGTGCTCTATGTATCTCCGTCATCTCCACTCCCCTCATCGCCTCCTCTCCCCCCCTCACATTCTCTTCGCATCTGCGGGTCGAAACCGTCAAGTTCATACCCCCTCTGATCTTGGTTCTCATCCCGCATCTCAATACATTTCCCCACGCATCATGAATCATCTCAACCCCAATCGAACTTCGCACCTAGGGACTCCCTCCCCACGACCGGAAAACTGCTCCTCAGCCCTCCGTCGCACTCAAACAGCCCGCCTCGACCGATCATCGAACGGACTCCCACGCCGACTCTTCTCTCACTGTCTCAAATCCGTCGTTCCAATCCTGATTCTCCGCTCTATCTCCCACACACCTCCTCGGCACGAAAAATCCCGCAACCAGCGCAACTCGCTACCGCAGCTCCCCTCTCCGACTCCTCTGAAATCTCTTAGGGTCCGCATTCACCCCCCCAACACCTCATATCGCAATCTCCCCCTCACACCTCAGCCACCGATTAGTCTCACCGACTCCATCATCTCTCCTCGCAGTCTCTCGCCCACCCTCCACAGACTCGTAACTCTCCCCATCTGACCTCGCCAGCATTCCCAAAGTCCCACCATATCTAGCCCACTCATACTCCCAAGCTCCTTCTCTCACTCCCCTTCTCCGACTCTCAATCAAACAAAGATTCTCTCCTCCCGCAAAATACCCCTTATCTCAACTCTCAGCATCACGCGGCAATCTCTCATCGTACCCGGCCACGACCACACCAAAGTTCGCCTGTTCGGATCTCCCCGAGAAAGCTCCCCGCCCATCGATCCTTCCTCCTCTACGAACAAATCCTACTCATCTTAGGCTCTGCCCTCTCCAGTCGAAGCCTCGTCCTCGTCGCCCTCTTCTCGCCAAGGGTCTCCAATATCCTCCTCTTTTCATTCACTCATCCTCCCAAAATCTAGCTCTCAGACTCTCCAACCGCATTCAGAACGCCACCACCTACTCGCTCCTCCATCTAATCCGACCCGGAAACTCTGCTCATCCTAAATCCCACCTCCATACCTCAACTCTACATGCACCTTCCTCGGTCTCTCGCTACTCTTTCCTCTCGGTCCCGCCCCCAAAACACGGTCAATCTCCTGGACGAATCCGCCCCTTCCAACACAAAATCCCCCAACTCTCCATGGAAACCCTCTACTCCCACCTACCGAACCCTATATCATCCCGAAATTCAGCATCGAAATCAGTCAATTACATCGTTCCTCGCGAATCATTCTCGATGTCCTCGAATCTCATCGCCAAGCCCTCTAAGCCAAACAGAACATCGCTACATTTCTCCAATTCCCACTCATCCCGGCCTTCCTAGGGATTTGATATAGACTCATTCGCCTCTCGTCTCACGTTCCCATCACATTTCTTTTCGTCCTCCTCGACATCCACCCATCGGTCATATAATTCCCCCGCATTACTGTTCTCCATCGACGTCTTCAACAGCTCCCTCTCTCGCTCTGAGTTCCAACGACCGCTATTCTCCTATCCCTATCAGATCGGATCTCTCCCCTCCAATCATCAGACCTCTCACAGGATGAATCCCCATTCACCCTCCCGATCATCACCACTCTCCCTTCTCTCCTCAGTCACTCTCATGCAAAACGGCCCTAGTCATCACACATACGTCTCTCCACCCCATACATCGTCACAACTTATCAAACTCCTCTCTCTTCCCTACCAACTTCGACCTATCTCATCACGCAACAATCCTCCAGATCTCCTGGGGGGACGCTCCACTAGCGAATCAGGCATACTCCTCCCCCACTCCTACAACAGTGCTCGTGCTCTTGCTTCTCTCCATCTACTCCATATCTTCTCCTCCAAGGTCGTCACCTACCCCAAGATCCGGTGTGGTTGTCCGGCATCGCAGTCCTACGCTCTCACCACTCTGCATCCTCTCATCGCTCCGTCCGCTTTCGCTC